CGAGACCTGTCACTTGGGTCTCAAACTAAGGTGAGCTCCCCCCACCCCTCCATTGTGTGCAAACATAATGGGGGGAATTGCAAGAATAATTCACGGAATACACAGGAAAAGTGTGATTAACTTCTTGTGTGCTGGTGTATTTGCATATTTTGTTATTTGTTTGGACACTTGATTATAGAACACTCTACTAAACATTTAGAAGGTGTTCGTAACCCCTTGTGCGCTGATCTGTATGCACATCCAGGTTTATTTCTGGACACTGTATTTGAACACATTCATCCACACTTGTATTGTCAGTTTGTACTTTATTTTATACTATTTGAGTGTATTTTGTTGCAATTTTGTAAGGGTTGTTTATGTAAATGCACGTTTTATAGCTCGGCACATTATGGTATTTTATTTAGGTTGAGATGTGGATTGTGAGAGATCAGTTTGGGTTGTGATAAATAATTTGGAGCCAAAAATGACAAACTTATCCAATTTAATGTGAGCAAAAACTAACATCACTGGAGATCTCTCTGAGTTTCAGATAGCAGGGAACATCTCACAAGTAAGAAGTTGCATTGCATCATAGGAGCTTAGTTATTTTTCAAGTTCGGAGCAAAATGATAAATGGTCACAATCAAAACAGAAAAATGTTAGCTCAGCCTTGGCGATGAAAGGCACAAGGCCACTGCACAGAAAACATTTTGTAATCTTGGAATACTTATGGTGGTTATTCACAAAGCTACCAAAAGGCAGCCGAGTGAATAACCAAGCCGAAGTGAAGTGAGCCGAACAATGTTCGGCTATTCACTCCGACTCAGCCGTACATTGGCGGCCGTCGGTCAGTGCAAAAGGACTTCGACTCAGTCGATCCTACATCTGGATCGGCTGAGCCGAAGCTCCGGCAGCTCGCTCGTGAGTGAATAGCCGAATGCCACTGAGTGGCATTTGGCTGGGCTATTCTGCTCGGTACCTTGCATCTGGAGTCTCTCATCCCTCCCTGGAGCCAACCCAGGGAGGGATGAGAGACTCCATGGATCCCCCACTTGTAGGGTCTGTGACAGCGGGGATCCGTAATAAAATCACTGGCGGGGGGTGGGGGAGCAAGCGGCGGCAATTCAGGATGGTCGAGCGGCATAGTGATTGGAGCCGCTGTCATCCTGTCAGTTTTTGGATGACAGAGGCTCTGTAGTGTGGCCGAGCGGGGGCCGTTAAATATAATAATGTAAAAAAAATAAAATAAAAAAATAAATAGAAAATGTTAAAAAAAAGCACAACCCCTCCCTCCTCCCACATAACATACACATATTGAGGTGTACGCCATGCACATGCGCTGCAGTGCGTTGTTAGAACGCATCGCAGTGCATGATTTTTTTAATGTATTTTTTTCTTTAAAAATTATTTAAACTAACTGTGGCAGCGCATGGCAGAGCTTTGTGACCCATTGCCATGCGTTGTGATCTTTGTGTTGCAATAAATATACGCCTGTATCATTTTATCACAACACAAACACCAACACACTGTGAAAACAATTTAACGTAAGTTGTTTATTTACAGTTTTGCGTACCGTAATTTTTTTACCTTTTCGCAAAAAGGCGCAATTTCAAATTTGCAAATATTTGTTGTTTATTAACTCAATACGGTTTTTATCTTTAGTCAGAAAATTATTTTTTGTGTGCGCTGATACTGATTTTAGTGTGTTTTATCAATTGAATTGTGTATTTCTATCGGTTTAATATTAATATGAAAAAACATTTGCGCAATTATCGCAGGGCCTACAAATTTTGTATCACCATCTATTTATTCTACCGAGCCTGCGCTTTCAGAAAATATATGGTTTGGGGGGTCTTTTACAAACGCTAGCAACCCAGCAGTTGAAAATCAAATCAATAGGAAAAAAAATTGCAAAAATGGCTTGGCCAGCTGATTTGAAAAATGTTCCGGAGGGCTTGGCAGCGAAAGGGTTAATGACAGATCAGCAGGTCATTTGGGGGAGCTAATCTGTCATTACAACTGGCCAAGAGATGATGGCTGGCCCCACCCAGCTGTCATTGCAGGGCTTACGGCAGGCCGCTTGCCTCACTTCGGGTGTCACTGCGGTTCAGTCGAACTGAAGCATATGCCTTGTACAGCAACCCTTTGGTTCGACTGAACTGAAGGGCTCCGGTGGCCGAAGAGAGCCAAAGGATCAGCCAGAGCTACCCTGTTTCCCCGAAAATAAGACCTAGTACTATTTTTGGGAATTGCTAAAATATAAGACCTTCCCCGAAAATAAGACCT